ATTTTGACCGCTTCGCCTTGGGCATTTTTAATCTGTAGCTCTGCTCTAAAAGAACGTGCGTACCTGGGCCTGCCTACTATCCTTGGAAATGTAAAATGATTGGCTAGAATCTGAAGTGTACAGATTTCAGATCACATCTCAGGAAAAATAAAGCACCGAAATGTGCGCTGCTTTTTGGTCTGGTTACTACCGTTTATGTCAGAACCGGTGCCGGATACCGGTACCCATCCCTAATTATATCAGAGAATATGATGAGCTTATGTTGAGGCGAACTGAAGAGGAGGAGAGGACAGGGACAGGTGCTGCTAGGGCGAGACAGACGTCTCGAAATACAATGAAACATTAAGTTTTTGAGTATCGGTATCGCATCAGTATCGTCGATACTACCCTGGATTTTACTTGGTATCGGATTGGAAAGGAAATCAGTGGTATCGCACATCACTACTGAAATCCTTCTGCAGTACAGGTGGCGGGAAATCCGATAGATCATTGTATTTTCTATGGTGACACCAATTACCTATTTTTCATAAAATAAATTAAAATACTTTGAACAAGAGTGCTGCGAGGTTCCCTGACTCTCAGAGAGATTGCCAAAGGTTTCCAAATAATTGTCAGTGTGAAGAGTCTTTGTCAATGAGATGCAAACTGTGAGAGGACGCTGCTTAACTGCCTGCCTCTTGTATTCCGGTCCTTTTGAGCAGGTTTGCTAACTGCAAATGTAACAGCTAAATGTAAATTTCAGGGTTCGTACGGGTGCTTGAAATCATTGAAAATTCTTGAATTTTAATATTGTCTTTTCAAGGTTTGAAAAGTGCTTGAATTTCAGATGTGGTGCTTAAAAGTGCTTGAAAGTGTAACTGTATTTCATTCACCACAAATAACTATCTAATTGAATAGTTTTCTTATCAGATAGAAAAATAAAATGAGTCGCAAAATTTCCCCGCCTGGGCTGCGTTGCGTCTGTTTCAACGTGTGACCCCGCCCCTCCCTCGGCCCGTCGGTGATGAGTGCACTAACATACCTGTAGGTTGCTGTTTAAATGAGTGTTTGATGGAAAACGACAGTCCTAGCAAATAATTTTCCAGTACGTGTACGTTACACATGCTATTTTTTAAAATTATGATTATCTTGCTATCAAACTCGCTGGAGTGTGATGCAGTGTGGCAGCGCTATTATGGAATATGCTGTGAACTTAGCTAACATTGCTTAGCAGTAATATGAGTTAATTTACTCAAGTGAAAGCTTTAAACATTAGCCCGATACATAACTAGCTAACTTAAGGCTTTCTGGTTAACCCTCTGGGGTCGACGGACCCAGAGTCTCCATTTCAATTTGGGTCGAACGTGCGGACTTCAAACTATATACCAGTTAAACTGTGTTGATAGGCCACGTAAAACCGATGTTTTGTTTTCTGAATAAAACAGTGGCGTTTACTCCGGGAAGAAACGGTAAAAACGGTGTTTTCTAAGGAGAGCGCTAGCAAACACGCTTTGCTGGTGAGTGAAAAAAGAAAAAACACTCCTTCCCTATTGGTGGAAAAATTTACCATGTCGACCAATCAAAAAATGATATGGCAACATGTGGCATTTGGTTGTTTGGGAAGAGGGGGAAGTTTTAGGAGTGACCGGCGA